TGATAAAATTTATAAAATTACATCAACTTATTTCATACAATTTTTATTAGATGTTTATAAAGCAGGATATATTTATGATATATATATATTTCTTTTTGCAGGTTTGTCACCAGATGGATCGTGTTTGTGGATTAATTTTAAATTCTACATTTCAGAAGCTTCAAGCACAAATGTTAAGTCGTTTTCAGGCAATTAAAGCACAGATGCCAAGGCGTGAGTCTGCACGCCGTAACCATCCATTAGCTTGTGAATCAGATATCATTGAAACCCTTCATATGCGTCTCACTTTGCTCCAGATGAGTTTTGGCAAACATATTGAGCGTAAACATTGTTGTTTTTTTCCTGGAGAGGTAAATTAAGTTTTTCTTGTAGATTACAAGGTTAAAAGTTTGTAATATGTAAATAGATATACCTGATTTTCAATTATATTTCAGATTTTAGATGAAGTTTATCGTATTTTATATTACATAAAAGTTACTCCTAAATTAGCCAGACCATACAAAGTTACGGATGAATTATTTGATTTAAGTACTATGGCTATGGAATACTTTAAAGAACGTATTGAACCAACATTACCAGAAATTCCCTATTTTGGAGCTGATTTCCTAGATCTTGCTGGGACATTCTCTTGTGAGCAAAAAAGTTAAATTTTAAATATTTCTTAAAACGAAATTAATTTATTATTTTATAGTAATATTTTTGTGTACAATTTATTAATTATATATTATAGCTTCTAGTAATGTGAGCAAGCCATTCATGTGCCTGGACTCTACACCTTTAACTGTTGGAACTGGTAAATCAGGAAGCAATAGTGGAGAAGAAGGGTCCCCTCCACACTCTTCAGATGACCCTGGTCTCTTAGAGTCTAATGTATCACCACCACAATCAAATATGGTGTTACGAAAACGGATTCGTAAAATTAAACAAGGCATGAAACGATATAATAGTCAGTTAACACTAATGCGTAGAGATTTGAGGAGTTGCAAAGCAAAAATAGCAGAACAGCAGAAACAAATTGTTGAATATGCAACACGTCTTGATGAAAACGACAAAAAGAATGAGGAAACCTCTCGTAAATTTAGCACACTCTTACAGGTATTTACTAAGGTACACTTAGTACTTGTAAAATCATGACAGAAAAAATTTGCGTCAATTTGGTCAAAAATATAAATTGAATATGTATAAATTTCAAGATCAAATTTATAACAATTTGCATGTTTATTTAGTATGTTACAATTTATGAAATTGTCATTGTGTATTGTGTAGGAATTGAACAAGTGTAAAACAGAGCTTCAATATTGGCGATCTAAATCCCCAGCGATACCAGTGTGTGTAGTCTGTGGTCAATCTGTGTTAGTACCAACGGATGATCTACAAGCTTTAACGAATCAAGGTGTATTAATGGAAACGCTTGATGAAGGATTAGACTTCATTCCCATTGCGGACGCACAGAGTCTTACCGAAGTGGCTCCACAGTCAGCAGTTACACAACAGCCTTCGTCGCCACCACCACCAACAGTGGAAATGGCACCTCCAAAGGCTCCTGTGCCTTCATTAGTTCCAAAACGGAAATCCAACACTGAGGAAGCACCGAGCGACGCTGCAAAAAAACCTCGTCGTACTGCTAAGTCACGTCAGGTTAAACGCTCGAAGATATAAATCGATTCTGATCATGGTACAAAAATATCTGTGTAACATCATTACTGGGTTCTTGAAAGAGGTTTTTCTATTTGAAGTAATGTGTTTCTTTACGCCAGCGAGCGAATGATCTTAGAAAAGTACAAAATTCTTTCCCGAACGTCCTGCATTTCGCGCAACGAACCTCGTTTTGAAAAATTCTAGCCATGTTGGTTACCGCGCGAAGGGAATTGACGCGATTGATTTTCCTATTTTATTACGGACGGATTTGTCACACACGGTGACGTCTACAATATTCTAAATGATAGCTGATCATTCGTATCGTTCGTAAAGTAACAAAAGAGCTACTTTTTTCGAACCCTTTTAATTATTATTATTCTCGTGATGGTATACACAAGGAGAATGAAAGGATTGAATTTTGTATGAAATGTTTATTTTACAACAATATCTTACTAATAGGGCAATTGTCATGTTGTGACAAACAAGAATTCACCTTCTGTATTCCTTGGTCACAAATAATGCACTGATTTATCGTTTATTTGCTAAACATTTCTTAACATTTTCTTTTGCCGTAATATTTTGCCCTAAACGTTTTATCCTTAACAGCTTAATTTAATACCTACTAGACAATACACAGGAACAAATATAGAAATGCAAAATTTAACAGTTGAATGAAAAAAGATATTATTTTTATTCAAGTCATAAAAAATTCTTATTTCATGTTATATAATTTACTGTTTGTTACAATTCTAAATTAAATAACAATGATTATACCTGATCAATCTTTTTTCATATAGGCAAGAGAATGCCTTGCCTGTGTAGAAATTTTTGTATAAAATTTCGAGTGGACATTAGACGTGATTCTAGCAAATTTTATTTTGCAGTATCAATGAATAAGTACCTGAGAGGACTGAGTGGGACTAGTTCACGCAGGTACTCCAAGTTCATCAATATTCATATCAATTTCCTAATTTATCTAAGTCTGCTCAATAAAAAAAAAAAAAAAAAAAAAAAAAAAAAAAAAGAAAAAAGAAGAAATAACAATTTTTCTATAAAAGTGCATACCGTTCATGTTACGTTATCAGTCTAAGCCAATCATTAAAATGAATAGTGAAAGTCAAAGGCTTTGAAAACTGAATTACTTTTGCATAATGACATGTGATATATTGATTTATTTTTTCTGGTTATTAAAGATTGAATTTATAATTAAAAAATTAATTTAATAGAGCAGCTCACCTAGATGAAATCAAAACACGTAATAATATAAACTTTTGTGAGCCTTAAAAATGCGAAGTTTGGAAGAAAGTGAAAATATGCTAAAAGACCTTAATGGGTGTTATTTTCTTTTTAACACGCCATCTTCTAAATTTGTGATTTTCTTCACGAAGTGGTGTATATTGCAATATTAATAGCGCTAGGAAATAATTTATAGGATCAATTATTTATAGGAAAATTATTATCTGATTGTTTCTAAAACATTTTTGGAATATAAATTTTTTAATTTAATAATTACGTTGAATAAAAAGAAAAAGAACAAATTATGAATTCCGCGCCACATTTTTAAAAAAAAGGAAGAAAAAAGTATATCAGAAAGAAATGGAAACGATTTTTAATGAAATTAATAAAAATTTCGCGTTCACGCAATCTTTAAAGTCGGACGGATTACCCTGCACGATGCTCGATGATCGGTCTGCGTAGATTCAATTAATTAATATTATTTGCACCAATCCTAATTACTCTCAAAGAAGTGTAGTTTGAAATATTGTGAGTTGATTATTATTCATGATTCTAGTAATAAATATAAAGGATACTGATAATAAGTAAATGATACTTTATTATAAATATATAAATATATATATGAGTGCGGTACTTGCCAGGATATGCATACCACACAGAGCAGTTTAGTTTAAACTTTAATGGAACAATAAGATATAATAATTAATTAATGATGAAATAATTATTGAAATATATATAATTTTTTATCGATGTCGAAAATTAATTAGGAGAAAAAAAGGAAAACATGAACTTAGCGAGCGGACGGAAACCGAGTACGTCACGAACACGCATGTATGTGAGAAATTGAGCGAGAGAAATAAGTGCGTGTGATATATATATATATATAAAATACTAAATTCAAACTTAATGAGAATTTACGATGTGATGCTTTATCGATTTAACTGCGGGAAAGTGACCTTTATTCAAATAAAATACATGTGGGGCGTTTCTGGCTACAAAAGAAATGATTAAACAAAAAAAGAAAAAAGAAGAAATGAAATAAAAAAGAAAAGATGTGTGAATTTTACTTAATGTTATGTTGAATAGGATTGCGGGGGCGGGCGTAACTAAGTCGCCGTGTCGGAAATTTCGAAATGCTTGCATTGTATGCTTATATCGCGAATAGTGATACGTTTTGACAGATTAAACAGTAAGAAAACGAAAAAAAGTGAACGAATGAAAATACGAAGAAAACTGTAACGAGACTCACTTTTACATGAATATATTTAGGCCCCTGAATGTAACAGCATCCTGTATACAGTCTTCAGAGAATTGTATTTATGAATCAATAACTAAATGTACTCCCACTGAAATATTTACACTTCCGACGATACACATTGCCAGTTTATTGTCTTAAAATAGTTTACAGTCATCGGCTTTCCGACATTATCCGTCCCCGAACGATACAAATGTAGCGTTGTGTACTACATATATGAATCTACTAAGGATATACAATCGAATATAACAATGAATACACAATTAGAAGTAGAATAATTTCCTAATTAGTAGTACTGTGCATTTTAAAAATGCGAGCACAGAAATGATAATTTTCAATTTTCATTCATCATGATTATAAATCCGAGGACCATGCTCGTTTGCAGTATTTGTCTACTAGCAGGTAAAATGGTCTCCGGATCCAGGTACACAATAAGCAATTATGAAGGGAATACCATACGTGTACTTTGAAATTTACACATACGAGGAAAAAAGTGCATAGGAATACAATTGCCAGCGTTACGGTCCGAAACGCCGTACCGCCGAAAAAAATGAGTTATCTTAAATGGTTTTACGTGTATTAAAGCGATTGTAAATATATATATTAGATACACCTTATAATAAACGTAATTTAACATAACATATACTGTTGGATGCCTTTTTACATTTCTATTATATCAAAAGAAAAAAAGAAAAGTAAAGATAGCAAATTCGTTTCAATTGAAAATAGATTGTATTACTCCGGATTGGTCTAATGCAACCTTGACTTTCACTTTCGTCTGCTAGGTGAGCACGTGGCTCCGTTTGACAGTTTGTATTCTCTTTGTTTCGATAGGTGGCGACCCTGTTTCTTCCAACTGTCGACCATTCTCTCAACAGTTGCATTTCCGTCGAAGATGGCAGTACTCACAGACTTTGATATTGTTACGAAATAATTTTGGAATGTTTATTATGGCATCGCGATCGTGTTTGTTATAGATTTAAGTAGTATTTTGAAACTAATGCGTATTTGTTAACGTGACAGTTCGGCGACCAAATCTTTATGGATATCTGTGATTTGTTGCGTTATACTTTTGGTGCATCTTACTTGTTGCAACTGTGTTGTAACCTTCCCACGTGCGCGTTTTAACTACACTTTACTTCTTCCATTTGTCAATCTTCGACAAATAAATTGTTGACACAATGGCAGATACATTGCACAAAGATGGATACGAGATATGTGAGTAGTATTGGATTTTATATCTTAATTTTTATAAATTTGTTTGTCCTCTGTTATTTTGTTATCATCCAGTATTATGCATTATAGTTAAATGCATTTAAAATTATGTTATTTCTATTTAATATTTTATGTTTTAAAATGAAAATTTGCTTCTATTAATTATTCATACTATGTGTAAAATATTGGAATATAATATTGTAAACTGTATTCTATGTACTTTTTGAAAATAGCAAATTTAGCACTGCGCAGTGGAGGTGCTAATATAGGTGGAGATAGTGATATGAAGTTGGAACCATCTAGTCCTACGGAAAAATATACTTTTTCTCGTTGTAGTAGTACTGGATCTGCGAATACACCATCTTCATCTGCTCATAATACTGGTAAGCAATTTAAACAAACACAATGAATTTTATGGGAGTAAATTGTTTAAAAGGTAAGAGTGACACCTATAAATAAATTTTATAAAATTAATTTTAGAGGATGAAGATAGCGACAATAAGAATTCAACCATAAGTTATAAAGAGCGTAGAAGAGAAGCTCATACTCAGGCAGAACAAAAACGAAGAGATGCCATCAAAAAAGGATATGATTCTCTTCAAGATTTGGTTCCCAACTGTCAACACACTGAAACTTCAGGTTATAAACTTTCAAAGGCTACTGTACTTCAGAAATCCATTGATTATATACAATTTTTATTGCTGCAAAAGAAAAAGCAAGAAGAAGAACGTAATGCATTGAGAAAAGAAGTTGTTGCTTTACGTATCATGCAAGCTAATTATGAGCAGATTGTGAAAGCTCATCAAACTCAACCAGGACACGCAGAAATGCGTGTATCTGATGAAACAAAATTTCAAGTGGTAAGATTAAAGCATGTTATACAATTTTTAAAAATTAAGATTTTGAATTCCTTTATTTTGAAAATATAACTTGTTTATATTATAGTTTCAGGCAATTATGGATCGTTTATTTCAAACATTTAATAACATTTCAGTAGCAAATTTTACAGAATTATCTGGATGTGTGTTTAGTTGGTTGGAGGAACATTGTAAACCTCAGGTAATTAAATTATCTTTTAGGTTACTACAAATAATTTTTTTTTAAATATGTACAAAGTATTTAATGAATATGTTTTAAATATTTCAGACTTTACGTGAAGTAGTACTGTCGGTACTGCAGCAGCTTAATAGCCAACTTAGCTAGTCGAATTAGTCCATTTGTAATTGCACAATATTACATTTATAAAACCTATTCGCGGGTACTTAGACCAATCATTAAGTAGAGTTACCAGAAAGGATGGGAGTATGTGTGTTACATGCAATGCGGGAAGCATAATGATTGTACGAGAAATATAAATAGAAGTTTATTTTATATACTAATATTATAGATATAGATACAGCCATGTAATATGGCTTGCCATTTGTTGGTGACCAAACGATGTTAAATATTTTTATCAGAGATTTTTTATTACATGAAGTTTGCTGCATATATATAATACGCAATGTATATGTATATATATATATATGTGTGTGTATATATATGAATGTATTTGAATATGTACATAATACATTACTTTGCAACATAACAGTTTAAAATAAAAATCTAATTATTTCTGTTTATGACTTCATATTTACAATCATTGACAATGAAAGACATATTTTATGTTTAATTAGTTTAATTAATTTAATTTATGTTTAATTTCGTCCAGCATTATTGACTTATGTCCAAACATTTAATCCTTGTCATTAATTTTATGCTCCAGTTTCATTTGATTAAACTTTCTCAGATTCTGTAGGCATACTTTCTCCTTGTGTAATGTCGTTTAAAAGTATGGTGTCCAGTCTGGGTCTGTTAGGATCATCAGGTTCATGGTGAGGGCTCTGAGGACGCCTTCTTTTAGACATGTCCACTGGTCTACAGCAGAGATCTCGGAAGATACAGGCATAGCAGGCTAGTATTGCGCTTATCATCGTTAAACCGCCAATTGCGGAAATCGCCACTAAAAACATTGATACTTCGTCCTCCATGTTATATTTCGGATGATTTTAGTAGTTAATGTTTACACCATCTGTAACAAAAATATATGAAAATCAAATTTATTATAAAGATTACAGATTATTTCTTCTTTTGCGCAAAAATTCGTTTTTATGATTATCACAACATAATTTCAATGTCGTGCAATATCCTTTCAATTCATTTCCAATTTCAAACAATTTCTGAATGCAATAGTTATTTCTCATTCTTACCATTTTTCACTATTATGCTATCTAGCATTCCATTATAATTATTTATACCACTGCTTCTTTTTTTTTTGAAGGAAAGAAGAAATTATTACGTAGCTATAGCTATAAAGTGGACGTGGAAAGTTATTTTATTTTCATATGAAAAGCTGGATCCTTCTTTAAACGAGGAGTTCTTAGATACGAAACAAGAGGATCAATTCACTCTTCTTATAATCCAATTTATTCCTCGGTAGTCACGTACGGGCGAAAAATCGTTGAGCGAATTGTTCCAGAGTGTTTCGTATCGAGTGCAATTTAGAAGATGAAATCTTTCAAGTTGTGTCTCTTTTATGAAACAATACTTTGTCTTTTATCGACGATGTGATCGGGAAAAAATGATTGGCATATACTCCGAAGGAGCTTTTATTGTACTTCCTTATTCTCGTTTTAGGGGAGGTAGCGATTTTATGGCAAAAGTTTTACCTCGATCAAACAGTACTCTTGAAATTTCGCTCGTTTCTATAAGAAAGCAGTAGCTAAAAATAGTAAAATAAAACTTTCTCAAATGTTGCTAATTTTGTAACTTTTAATAGGGTTTTGCTATCGAAGTTTTCTCGCAGTCACATCAATGTTTTATGATGTTTGGATAAATAACCAATACAATTTGCGTGTGTTCTTGCAGAAACTGAAATATGTGTTTAATCTTAGCTGCAATAGAAGCAGAAAACTCGAAGAGTGCGTTTAGTTCCCTAGGGAATGATATTCCAGCTTGTGAATCGTGTTTTTCATTTTTTTCTCCATTTTTCATAAGAAAAACTACCGCAATGCATACAAGTTAATAATTATTTTTCTGGAATTATTTCAATCTCTGTATGAATGTAAAATTCTTTTCCCTTAATTTTTCTTCTAGTTCGAATAAAAAACTGATTCCACTTATATTTTTCTTGACTGGATTTTTATGAGTAATACAATCTTTTATATGTTAGAATCGAAACGAGAGAAATAACATTCATTTTTTCAGATTAGGTGTAAATCTAATCATACTCTTTCTTAGGTCTTTACTTCAAAGCTAGAGTATCCTATTGAGTTTTCCATCGTTTCCAATTTTCTGTACCTTTTCATCGACTTTACTTTCATTTCTTTAAAAATTCCTTAATTTAATGGCAAAGGAAACTTTGTTGAAAAGTTCGAAAAATCTTTAGTATCCACACTTAATATAGAGTTAATTAAAAAGTAACATGATTCGACTTATAACATTTCCAAGTCGTGGTTTAATTTAGTTCAGAAATATACTTAAAAGTTATTTTAATTAAGTTAAGTAAATTAATTAATTTTATAAAGTAACGAGTAATATCAACATGCAAAGTACATGTAATTTGCATGAAAATGATCATACTATTATTACTGCAATTATTATAGTTCTATAGTTTTACGTATGTAATAAATTATCATGATGATTAGTGACAAATCTCCAATAATATTTAACAATTTTTTGCGAATATCGTGAAATAAAAATTTCACAAAATTGGTGTCTATCTACTATAATTAAAATCTATGAATCATCGTATATGTATCGCGTATTTGTCATCGGTTTTCGATATCGAAAACCAGATAACACGAGATACTGATTTGTTGGAATATCAAGGACAGCGCGTTTGTACATTTTTCGTGTCCATCTTTATCTCCCGAAATTAAATGCACATATAAACGCGAGAGATATTTCACTAGTTTAGCATGTTCATCAAGATATCGATTTGCATTCCAATTTTAGAAATTGTAGTTCCCGCAGAGATGATCCATGTACCATAGTTGGGCGACCTATATTTCAGTTTCTTTCTCTTCTTTTAATCGTTACTGTGAGTAGAATTTATCTTCGAAAGGGAAACACGAAAACATGAGAGAAAGACACGAAATTGTCAGTGATAAATGAACTGTCACATTATTAACTGCAGAAACGAACGAACGACACTATTAAAGAATATAATATTCTAGAGATAATTCAAGATAAATGTAATGGAGTAATTCACTCAAAAAGATAATTTGAAAATTCTGTGCAAAATATATTGAAAAGATGATTGGAAAGATACCATTATATTTTTGCTGAGACAGTTAATATATTTAACAAAGGTTCATCGATCAAATTAATTATTCTTTTAAAAATCAGTATTAATATTAAATTAATGTCGAAACCTCCTCCTGAGGAAAATTAACATATGTATTATTTATTAGTATATTATTATTACATTAAGTAAATGATAATAATACAATAAAATAATAATATAGTAATAATGTCAGCAAATGTCAATAATACAATAATAATAATAGAGGTAGTACGATAATATAGCATCAATATGGCGATAATAATAACAGTGAATAATGGTAATAATAAGAATAATGACGATAGACATAGTATTAGTAGTATAATAATAATATAATAGTAGTAATGAAACAATTGAAACGAAATTCGACAAAGAATTTGACATTTCGAAATTTGGGTCTTCTATTCCTGACTTTCAATGCTCGTCGATCACTTACGTCTAACTATCCTCGATCTATTGGACCATCTTCCAAATTAATTTCATTTTCTTATTATCGAACCGACGTTAGTGTTTCGATCAACGTTAACGTTTAACACGGCTTCAATTAATTAGACGAGATTACACTCGCAGTCTGCGTTGCAGCGTTCAGATCGCAGATAGGAAATTTAGCCCATGGAATTACTGTCATATGCCATTATGGTGGCGATGCAACTCACAAAGGATTTGCTCGGAATCGTTCGTTTGCGAAATTGCGGGTCAGATGCCTGGGGAATTATTCTAGGGTTGCTCTCTGTTGCGAGTCGAATTTATTTCACGAATACAGAGATTCGCCCGAAGAAGCGAGCACAGCCAGGGAAGGGTGAAAGCGTGCGAAGAAAGGGGTGAAAGAGAAATATTAGCATTGGCTATTAGGAAGACACACTTTGGATTGTACGTCGAGAGTGTCTGTTAGTATATTATATAATCGATCTTTTATATTTTGCGTTGTGCATTATATATCGTATGATTGAAATACTTTCTTGGATCTTGAGATTTATAGGTATTTAGTAATTTAGGAACTTGGTAAATTTTAGTAATTTTTAATGATTTAGTAATTTAGTGATTTTGAGTAATTTTAAATGAAAATATTGGATTGTTCAGTGCCTAAAATATATTCCAGTTTATAATATTTTTGTATAGAATTAGTAGTTTATTAGGGTATGTATATTACTGTCTAAAAATTTGGGATCACTTTTGATATTAGATTGAATTTTTCAAAATTTCGAATTATAGTTCTCTTAGTGATATTTTGCTGTTTATTAAATATATTTACGACCCTTTTTCTCCAAAATTTCTCTCACGTTTCAGTAATTTAGTAATTTTTAGTAGTTTTAAATGAAAATATTGGATTGTTCAGTGCCTAAAATGTATATTTCAGTTTATAATATTTTTGTATAGAATTAGTAGTTTATTATTGTATGTACATTACTGTCTAAAAATTTGGGATCACTTTTGATATTAGGTCGAATTTTTCAAAATTTCTAGTTATAGTTCTCTCTTAGTGGTATCTTGCTATTCATCGAACATATTTATGACCCCTTTTCTCCAAAATTTCTCTCACGTTTCAGTAATAAATTCCTGCAAACAGTTCTCTAAGTTCTCTAGAATATTCATTTTCCTTTCACTAATACTCGTTAATAACTTCTGGAATATTCAATATCGTGTTTCATAAAGACTAACGTAAATGATGGCGGAGACGATGCTATATGTGACAAATAGGGTGGCTGGGGTGAAGCATCCCAGCTAAGGTCTAACATTTGTTGTCTCTGTAATATCGTTACACGAGATTCAACGTTGTCACGAGAAACGACGCCTACACTATTTACGAATTCTGGGCAGGCCTTCGTAATAAATAATTCACAGCCTGACTTGGTGTCGATTATCAAGAATGACACGAGTTCCTCGAGTTAGTTGACATTTCACGTAGTTGATCCTGGTGATAATCGTGGTTATATATATATTTGGCAATACGTACAGTGGAATATTTAATGATCATATCGGGATTTCAAAGGGGATGTTAAAACATCTTTCATAGAGTACATAATAAAACATTTCATTTCCTCTCTAAAGATTCTTTGAAATATTTATGAGTGTAATTAACAAAACAAAATAGATATACAATATAACAATATATTTCTTTTCTAATATATAATATTTCATTTTATTTTATACAACACTTCTTCATTTTCTATTTTAGTTTTAATTGATTAATATTTCATCAATAATTACACAATAATTTAATACACAGCTTATACAATATCTGTATATTGTATATTATATATTATACATTACTATATTATTATATTGTATAAATGTATCACTTCATTTACTAGGCAAATTTATTTATTTAATTATTTACAATAATTAAAGTATCTAAAGTATTAAAATATTTCTTTGTAAGAAATACATTAGAAGCTAAAATATGTTCCAAACTCAAACTTTCTTAGTTTGAGTATAATTGCTATTGGAATCCCAAACGGGGTAGCAATGGGTGGTCCACTGTAATTGCCATGTTACTCTGCGCTACTTACAATTAGTGGAATCTTGGTAGCTTATAGATGCCATTAATTCCTCGAACGGAGTAATCCACGAGATTTCTAAGACAGTGTTCTTCCATTCTGCTTGCTACCGAAACCTCGATCCCTCTTAGCCACAATAAATCTTCGAACAATAGATTCGCATTTATATGCAGAACTAATCAGTGTAAACTAATCGTTCCTTTCATTTGCAGGTAAAGAGACGGAACCACGAACCTGCCGCTGCATCTGAAATTTTCCACGAGACGTTGACACCCGACGATCTTGCGAAGAAGAGGAAAGAGGGAAGAGATGCAGCCGAGGAAACAGCCGATATCGGTGAAAAATGTCGTGAAAAGAGAAGACAAGCGCACGATGTTCCGCGTTTAACATTTCACGGGTGAAAAAGAGGCGGCGAGATACTGAGGTAGGTGATAACGCGGCCTGATAACACGGACTCAATGCGTCGTGTAACGCAGTAACACGCGTGCTGATAACATTTTCCGCCTGTTTGCTTGTCTCTTATTTTCCCAGCGTTGCGTCCGATCTCTGTGCAGGAAAATGCTTCTGCAAATTAAAATGGACGTCGAGCAGCATCCCTTTTCCAGTTGTCGTTCCTCTTGGATGGCGCAGGCTTTATTGTTTAAAAATTCCTTTCATTTCATTGAATTACGACCTTTTCGACTCACTTTTCTGACTTGAAAACCGGTAACAAATTATGAGCTTTAGAGAATTTTACTGCAGGATTCGCTTTTGCGACATTGGAAACGAATTTAGGTTAATTATACCTTTTCCTGTTGGCCATTTTTGTTTCATCGAATTACAGTATTTATTTATTTATTCCGTTTTTAGTTCGTTTTCTATTTTGTTTATTTATTTGTTTGTATTAAATAAGAGTATTTTTATTTTGTTTTATTTATGGTGGATTTAGGGTAGTTTTGATGTTTAGTTTAATTATACGAAAGCAAGTACGAATGTAGCAGTGGTTTGGTACGTTTAGAATTTTCTGTCTCCCTCGGAACTTTCTATCTGGACTACTTCTCTGAACACTTGTTCTCAACTCGCCACCCTCTAAGAATACTCACCCCTGTACACAGACACAAACGTACACACGTGCAAGCGTCATTTAGCACTGTGACGTTCAAACGAGCTCCTAGAATACTAGCTTTCGAATGCAACAGTTGTATTCTACTTTTAAAACGTTCCTGTGCCATCTGTGACATGAAAGCAGCCTTTAATTACTCTTTTAGTTGATCATTAGCGTGGTGGTGTGGGATACATGTTAATTAGCGACAAGTTATGAAATATATTCTCTCAGGGTTGTATTTGGTTGTTTATGTTGTAATATTAGGGACCTGAGTAGATACAGCCCTGCCGTGACAGGATTCTGTTTAATGGGATCACCTTGTATTTGCATTGTATCCGAGTTGCTCAAACAAGGACAGTAATGAAATTCCATTTTCTTTTCCTTATTTCTTTGAACCTTAATACATCTTTCCTTCTTCTGGCAGTTCATTTAGGGTGCAAACGAACAAACTTTATGTATTATTTATACAACGTTAAAAGACGTTGTTTCTTGATAAAGAATAGCTTCTTAAAATGTATCAAATAATTTCTGTTGCATGGAAAATTGTAGGATTAAAATCGGAAAAGAGATTTTAATATGTATTATATTTACAAAGTTAAAATCGTTATTTCTTTGTTAAGAATAGCTTCTTAAAATGTATCAAATAATTTCTGTTACATAGAAAATTGCAGGATTAAAATCGGAAAAGAGATTTTAATATGTATTATATTTACAAAGTTAAAATCGTTATTTCTTTGTTAAGAATAGCTTCTTAAAATGTATCAAATAATTTCTGTTACATAGAAAATTGCAGGATTAAAATCGGAAAAGAGATTTTAATATGTATTATATTTACAAAGTTAAAATCGTTATTTCTTTGTTAAAAATAGTTTCTTAAAATATTTAAAATAATTTTTGTTGCATAGGAAACTGTAGGATTAAAATCAGAGGAGAGATTTTAACATTGATTTACAATTTTCTTCAAAGCAAATTCCAAGTTCCTTTTATAATATCCTCAAAGTACTGAAAGAATTTTGAAATACTTCATGTTCTTCCTTAATTAAAAATTAACTTCGCTACTTCAAACCACTCATAAACACACTCTCTAAATTAAATGAACCCAGATGAACTTAATCAAACATCAACTTCGGATCATCGAGATTAAAATTGTCTAAAATTACAATTACCTGCTCCTGTATCGCTCTTATTAATAAATAACCCGATAAATAACTAACCAACCCCTAACGTCTACATCACGCACCCCCAAGCACCCAGTCGTTTCAAGCAATGCATCAAAGAATCCTCAAATCTTCTTTAATAATACCGTACACATACTGGTCTCCCACCCACAAGCACCACTTGACACGGATCTTTCCATCCAAAGGCTGATTTCCCCCATGAGCGTCCATTCCTGTGCTGATCAACTGGGCACACCCTCCAAAGCTTTCCACCCTCGTTTCGAGTTCCTCTGGACTCGGTTCTCGTAACGATAACAACGCATCTCCGAATTTACCCCGATCGTGAATTTCCTAGTGTATCAGTGCCGAGGCTGATGAAATTCTTCTCCTTACCCACTAGCGCCACCATTTGCACTTAAATTCCTTTCGCAACGACCAAGCTAATTCGCGAGAGAAATTGCGATACCACACGCGGCAGAAGGGATTCCCCGAGTCAATTCATTGGGATACAGCAGCTTTGAACGCCACAGAGACCTCAACGCCCTCTGGGCCCCGCGCCATTGTTGCTTTATTTATCATTCCGCGTTCTGCTCTTCAAGTTTTCACGAAGTTTTCTTTTACCTTTGCGACGTGTTTTTGGACATTTTGTTTTATCTCGACATTATCTTTCTGGTTTGTATTAAATACCTGTTTGGCTTTTTTAGGTTAGGTTGAGAGAAACAGTATGGAGATGATAGGTTTCGGTTCTTTTAAAATTGTTGAGCTTTTAGTACTTGTTTCTTTAAGTATGTAATAGAAAAATATGAGAAGTTTGATGTTGAAGAAGAGTTGAAGATATACGAATGATGGTTCTGCTTTAATTTGAGAATGTGAGAATTTGAGTGGAGGTTAGTTCAATTGTATTTTTGTATATTGTATTAATCGTGACATATCTTGAAGAATTTTCTGATATAATTTTACTGTAGCTTAATTACTGTGTGTGTGTAATTATATTAGTCTCTAATTAGTACAATTCTAATATTAGTATTTTGGTTAGTGAATGGTAAAATATCGTAATATAATTATATTAATATGTTATTAAATATAGCGATCACTTTCTATTTCTTTGAATTATTTCTAGTTATTTGTATGTTTTAAAATATTTATTATCAGATAAATCACTAGAAATATTTTTCTAGTAAGTCTTATCGCTTATACACTTTTTACCAGGTTATCCAGTTTAATTAGTTTTCTCAATTTTCCTAAACTATCATTGCTACATGTTCACATCAAAGTACTCAGTTCAAATTAAACTGCACTGAACCAAATTCCCGGCTTTCCACTACATTCGTCTACGCGTTTACTCTACTTAGCTTAGGTGCTCCAGAATCAGTTAATGGGACTGATGTATAAATAGACGCATCATAGCCTGTGAAATTTCCTAGAATTTCAATTATACAAAAATTCCACGTTTGCGATGTTATAGTCGTATTATTACCTTATGAAAAAAAATTATTTTCCGAACTCGTTTCATTTACAATTATATATAATTATATATATTTCCCATTTTGCAATACCTCATATAACAATATAGTTACATCCCCATTAATAAGAACAGGAAAAATTAATTTAAACTAAAAAATAAATTAAACAAATTTCAAATAAGTATATTAACCATTAATATACAACATAATTACATGCCCATAAAAAAAACAAATGCAAAAACATTTAAAAAACGTTCAACCCACAATGTGCACTAAGAAGAATTCTCTTTCAACCCAACCCCGTTCTCCCAAGCTAAACAATCAAAGAAACCATTCCAACGCCACCAATTACCCACACTCGTCTCCTTACCACCCGTACCTGTTACTTCTCTCAATTCCTCCAGCCGCACGTACGCACAAGTGGTCCACGTACATTAAACTCCACCCGCACTTTCTCCTCACTCTTCACCCCTAGTAAAATTTCCACGAACACGTGTCTCGAATCCGATGACCTCATCTCTCCGTCGCGGAAATCTCGCGTGGTATCGCGAAGCTGAAAGTCACTCGTCGTGTCCTCGAGGTTCGAGTCGCGCCGGAACGAGGGTCCTCGATCGCCACGTTAGCTCGAGTCGAGCGCGGTGGACGATGTTCACGTGACGAAGGTCGCGCGAGGACTGCGGCCAGGACCGATCATCCCGCGCATCCTCGCGGCTTTCTCCTCTGGCGCCCTCCGCGACCACCGTGGACCCTAGATGTCATATACGCGTTACTTCGCGTATGTTATTGCGGAGTTTCTTCCCTCGTCGAGGAAGAGTCTTTTCTGGGAACAGTTTGTATACGATATTTGGTAAACACGTGGAAAGTTTTGGGGTTATTTGAGGAATAAGAAACCACGGAAGAGAATTGTCAACAATTTTCGATTCGATTAAATGGAGGAAATATTCGTTGGTAGCGTGATACGTGGTTTTACCGCCATGCGGCCATTACTCGGTTGTGTAGACTCGGCAGTGCCGTAGCGTGTGCGGAAAAAGAAAAAGAAAAATACAATTTTGTTATAAAATTTTGGAAAATTGAAAGCTTCTAACCGATCACGTCGTCTATATATAATCGACGATTGACGGGAAGCCACGATCATTACCGATTTCATTGATAACGACGTATCTTCTATAATAATCAAGAATTTCTTGATTTTTCCGTTTTTATTATAAATTTATGCTCTAAGCAATATGTTATTAACAATTTTAGGTTGTCATTAACAATTTCAATTTGTTATTGATAAAAACCTGGATAATTTATACATTTTCTAGAAACCAAAACTACATTCGCACCTCCATAGGGTAAATTTCCACGATACGTGC